ATGAATTACATTCGTCCTGATTATACTCTAAACAACATAATACAACTCAAGCTACGTCACAAGGCCACAACATGATTGCAGAATTTAAAATTCCACCACGAAACAAGAATAAGAGTGAGTGGACACCTTAAGATGGGTTCCTCAACTTGTTTTTGTGTCTCTGACTTTTTACTTCCAATCCACTGAAGCCTTGCCTGGTTCCAACGAAGATAGCCTACGCTTGGGAAAACAAGAAAATTAGAAAGTTGCGTCATAAATGATTTAGCTGAACTGAGAAGAATGTGTCATAAATGATTTAACTCAATCAAGATTCTTCTGCAGCATGCTTGAAGCTACTTCCTCATTAGGAACAAAGACGCATAAGAGAAATACGAAAGGAAGAAGAGGGGAAAATGACCCGAGACCCCTTCCTTTTCATACCGTCATCATGCATTGACCAAAAAACTATTGCTTCATTCACAGCAGAATAGAAACTAAATCATTAACACATAAAGGACGAACTTTGCTACTGAAAGCTCAACCAACAGTACAGAGGAGATTGTAAAGTATACTTGCCATGATTGACAAATTCTGAGTGGTTAATACTGTTGCCAGTGCCACCTTGTTGACTGAGGCTCTGATTTGATATACTGATGGATGACATACTTCTCTGAGATTGAACCATACTGTTCTCCAGGTCACATGTGCTGGTGCTCCAGAAATCTTCAGATATGCTGGGTTTCTTAACTAGCCGACCTTGAATTCTCAATCCCTTTGATGGCTCATCCACAGCAATGATCGGCTGAGATTTGGTGCAGCAACCAAAACAACCTCTGTTCTGTTACAATTCAGGTTCATTAACATATACAATACATGCCAGAAGCAAGATATTCACTTTTTGTGTCCCACAACCAGAACTTAGTTTGTTGTTTACTGTTCACTTTTGCAGTAGCATGAGCATTTGCCATGATTTGTGTTTCGGGAAAAAAAAAGATCTGATTCCGAAGTAAGATCATGATTTCTCTATGTTGCAGAAGGATTAGCAAACATTCACACAATTACAAAACCTTTTTTTGTTTTCAATATTTGTGTAGTTTATAGTTTACTGTTCACTAATGCAGTAGCTTAAAAATTTGCCATGCTGTGTGGCGAAACCAAAAAAAAAAAAAGAGTATCTGCTTCCGACGTAAGATCATGATTTCTATTAGTTGCAGCATTCACACACACCAAAAAAAAAATTTGTTGTCAATATCTTTCCTAATCCAGGTGATGAGCAGGAAGTTTTCAGCCATAGGTGTACAACAAACGGAACTCAAGATCAGTTAATATTAAGAAATTGACAATTTTGGAGATCAAGACCACTACAAGACATCAATTCCTAGCACTCAAAAATAAGACAGCTTTTGAGCAATAGCAATGAAGTTTACCAAACGTGTGCTAAGCACACAGACATATGTATAAACAGAACACCACATAACAGTTAAGCAGAAAACATGAAAACATGCATAACCTTTTGGCCTGGCATAATGGAAGGAGAACAAAGAAGAAACTAGAAACAAATTTATCGGCTAATTAATGGGCTAAGAAGTCCTGAAATTAGGATACTTAAAAGACAGCATATTCCCTCCTCCCTTTTATCCTTTCCAATTTCTTTCAACTTCTTTGCTTCATGATTCCAACGAGCAGGAGATCTGTGTTTGGCTCTCTTTTCAGATTAGGCCTAAGCACCACATTCAATTTTTCTCTACAGAAAATTCCTTATGACTCTTGTTCACTCAGAGTTCTTTCTTCAACGCTTCTTTGCTTCGCCTCATAGCTAATCAGCACCTAGCACCTACTACCAGGAAAAAGAATCCATGGTTTTACCTGCAAGGACTGGTATAACTTATCCTAAACAAAATGCCAATTAAAAGATTCAAGCTCCACGCACAAAATCTTTTCTTGCTTAATGCACTATCAGAAGAAGAGTATGGTTTATAAGATCATTGAGGCAATCATGAATTACCTGAGAAGAATGTTACTCTTCAAACTTAGACCTACAGGTTTCAGGTCCTTACCTCCAGTAACTTGTGACTTTCCACAGTAACATAAGCAAAGAGGAAATGAAGAAGGAGAGAAATGGGAGGAGACAAGAAGGTCTGCGATGTCCAGGACCAAGTTAGAGTAATCAACCACATACCAGCACACTAGCATGTTTAACATTCAATCCTTCTGTATCGCAGCCACCAGATGTGACTTCAATACTTTCCAAGCAGAAGACAACAACAGGCTACTGCATACTTTGGACAGGGAGGTTTCAAGGACACCAGACCAGAAAACTATAATCACCAGTTCGATATTTCTAAGAAGACACTAAATTAACCTCCTAGCAAGGTCCAAATATACCTACCCTCCTATTTATCTTATTTACTACATTGGAAGAATTTTTTCACCACAAAATGGTAAATGTTGTTTACTCCAACTACATGTCCTGTAATCATTACTCCTAGCCAGCAGAAAGCAATTTGCAGCACCTGTATTTGTCAGGATATCGCTCCAATCACAATTATAGATAAGAAGGATATTGGAGTATTGGGCTGGCTGTTTTCAATCAAAATGGTACTTTAGCATTTATAATAAACAAAGACACTGTTTTAACAGTATGGAAACAGAAAATGGAGCAATACTGCTGTTTAGAGGAAGACATAGAAGAGCATACCCCCAGTCATAATATTTCAAGTATTTACTAAACATATTCTGCAACTACAAGTATGAATTGTAAAGAGAAAGCACAATCAGTATTTAGACTTGCATTCTCTAATATAAATCTACAGTTTTAAAGGCATTAACATGTTTTGAAGGAAAATAACACTCTCATACAACCAGAAGCGCATACAATTGTACACACACCATCTCAACCGTAATAGTTGTTGTGTTATGATCATTTGAATGGTGTCTGAGTCATCGAAAAAGAAACAAATTCTAACATTTAAGTGCATAATTCACGGTCTCAAACATTAAGTCAAACACTGTCTCAGTGTAATCCTTCGCTTATGCCTATTGCATACATCCAGGAAGTCATAATAGTATGTAACAAAAAGCTCAGCCAAGCTTCACACACACCATATAGTATATAAACAAGTCTGGTTGATCTTACATCTCCTTTTTCAGCATTTTTCACTTTCTCAACTAATAATAGATCATGTTTTTACCAGTTGATTAGTTTCAACTCTTTCCCTTCAAAAGAATCATGAATGTGCAAGTAGCAGCCTGGAAAAGTCTAGTTTCTCTATCTTTCCATCTTAAGTACTAAAAAGAGAGAGAGAAAAAAAAAAAAAAAAAAGCAGAAAAATTGCAACCACAATAACCAGACAATACAAAGGTCCGTACACCACCGCAAAAGAGACAAAATAGAAGAACTTTTTACCTGGCAGACAGTTTTAGAGTTTTACACAATCCAGTTGCCACTTTTGAGACTACGACAACGGAAGATAACGAGCAAAAGGTAAAGAATAGAAAAAACAAATTAAATACGACTGTGTTGTCCAAATTTGGTAAACAAGAACAACCCATCCCACTCTTAAGTCTCTAGAATCAAAACATCTAATTATAACCACAAAAAGAGCCAGCCCGAGCTTTCCAGTATAATTCTTTAGTTCTCCATGCTTCTAAACCAAACAAAAAAATAGAAGCCCCTCGAAACAGATAACAGAACTTCAACGGTCAATACAACGGAGAGAACAGTAATAGGAAGAGACAGGAGCCAATGATAAGAACCAGAATAACTTACCCCATGCAAGCAAGAAAGCTGCTGATCCAATCAGTGAAAGAAGTGTACAGCATCATATACCTAAACATGAAGCGGCATCAAATTATAAAAACCCAATCTCTATTTCCAAACGGCCCAGATCAACCAAACCCAACATCAAGCTCCAATCATTAATCCAGCCCTGCAAACATATTTGAAGAAAAGTTAAAAAGGGTCGATAGTTTCTATGGAATTTTCACTGTCAAACAAGCAGATATTTTAGGATGGCTACTTATATATGCATAATACTCCATAAATACCTGCAACAGCACTAGGAAATACTACTACTACTCCCATTACCATATGCGGCCAGTTGATCAGCAAACTGCTGGCTACAATCACACCTAAATCCTAATTTGTGAAATTGGGCGGGGGCGGATTGTGAAGCGGTGAATTTGGGAGCGGGACTGTTTGTTTGCTGGGGTGAACCAACCGAAAGTCGAAAGTGAGCGGTGGTTAAGTTAAGTGGGTAATTTACGAGAGGGTTAAGTGGGGCCCGCTCGTTGTTAAACCTTTTCTACTTACTAACTTTCACTAAATCCAGCTAGGATTATAGTGGTTAATTTCAGCGACACGCGCTTCTTCCTTTCCCACGTGCGATTCCCCTCTTTTCCTTTTTCTTTTTCTTTTTTTGAGGACCCCAAAAAAAAAAAAGAAAAATATCTTCCTTAGTAATTGACCTTCTATTGCACGAACAGCTGCTGGCCATTAAAATTATTGAGTTGGACTTGAAAATAAATTCCTTCAATCTCGAAATAAGCATCTGATATCATAGAGTGAAATTGTTTTTTTTTTTTTTTTCAGAGTGAGTTTAACAGAACAGCTCAATTCAAGGACTGATAATGCAAATTTTCAAGCCATACACAGTAGTACTTTCCACGATCTTAGGATGCCATCTCATCTGAGCGAAATATATATATATATTGGTTGTTGAGGGCCTTCGGGCCCTATTCCTGTCTTTCCTTATCCTGCAGTACCATTCAGCTTTTCCCATTTGGGGCAAAAAAGTGTCGGTTGATACTCACTCGAGAAACTAGAAGGATAGCTACAACAGTATATATATTGTCTCTTGACAACTCGCTAATTTGGTACACAAATCTGCTGCATGATTTTGTCAATCTTAATGACATCTGGCTTTGCACTAAAGCTTCCGCTAACAGTAATTTGTGTGCGAAATGATTGCTAGATGAATATGATGGGCTAAAGTTAGGTCCCTGAATCCATGGCCAATCATTCAACGAACCGGTTCAAATCAATTATTAGAGCCGGGCCGGCTATTGAAAACTATTGACTAACCTTTTCAAGAACAAAAAAAGCCCTTTGTCCATTCTGCTCGTTTAATTCTTTCAGCCATGGATACAACGTAGTTGAGTTTCGGGAAGACAAAACACAGATGACATAATTTTGATGGGCTAATAACATTATCTATCACCAAAACAGTTTAGCAAGCTGCGCTGCAAGAGCAACAAAATTCGAACATATACTCCCATGCGTTGGAAAGTTTGAAATTCTCCAGCCAAATCTTCTACTGCTTAGTGGCACGATTTAGCAAAATTGAAGCCAGACCAACTCTCCACCAAGGTGTCACAGAGGGCTCAGTCTTCTTGGATATAAGAGAAGGCAGACCTGTGTGAACGCTGCTACCAAGTGTACCCTCCGGCTTGCTACTTGTCACAGAAGAACTAGTGAAGATACGCACAAAAAGAAAGAATCAAACGGCTGGTCACGAACTGTATCACCAGAACGTGTAATATGCGTAGTGCTAGAGGTGGTTGCTAAATACAAATCACAAGAGCAGGCATACAATAACTAGTTTTCTCTTAAAAAGGAACACTCAAAATTGTTAAAATTTTCCCAGCTTCAATAGAGCGTGATGGCTAAGTGACGCAAGTTCACTTGTGCGTTTTGACTAAGGATCCGAAACACAATCCTGCTAGATATGCATTCCATAACTGACGATGCTGCTGTTGTTTTGACGTTTTCAGAAACGTCATGATGTAAAAGTTCAATTGCATAGCACAACTTGGTCCTTAATTTAGATAACAAAATAAGGTGCCCACATTATCATGCTTTCTTGCTTTAAGAAAGTCAGAGAAGCCTTGTGGTCTAACCAAGTTGTACTACTTCTCTGATTTGTAAAATGATCATAATCTATAGTTCAGTTAATCCAGTATAGCAGCAACATTGTAAATTAACCAGAATAAAAGACAAATTTACATGACTCACCTCCAAGTGAATAAACCCGAACACAGCAACTTAAAATCCCATCTCTATCACAAACTTATGCTCGAGTCTCCATTGCAAATTTGTTGTGCCTTACATTAGTAATTTATATAGGGTTTCTGATATGTAAGCAGGTGGTCTGTTTATTTTACAAGAACTCAGTCGTCATCCCTCAGGTAGTCTGCCTACTCTAATGCTTGGCAGAAAATAAGCATGCATAAAATAACTAAGCATGAAAAAACTGAAATTATACGCAAGAAAAAAAAGAGCTCATTTGAGAGTGCATACATCAGGGGTCTTGGAGCTTCATATGCAAATGTGGAAATGCCCTGTCGTTGCTTGTGCTTGGGATTAACTGAGCACAGCACATACACTCGACCACGTCGTTTAACAGTTCGACAGAACTCACACATTTTCTTAACTGATGACCTAACCTTCATATCTGCGGACAACATATCAGTCAGGGAAAATCATGAGCTTACAGAATCTACAGACAAGTACAACAAAGTTTCTTATAGATAAAATGCTACCACTGGCGAACCATGCAACCAAAAAACTTCATAAGAGCAGTTTGATACCTAGCTAACAGCATACAACCATTCAACATAGCAAAACGCTGAAAGGAGAAATGACAATATTACAGATGCATAATCAACTGATCAATAAGGCAGTTGCAGCACAGATTACGTTATTAATCATATTTATCTTCACTTCATTCACATTCCAGACATAAGAATATAAAGTGCCCTCAAACCCAAGAAACCATCTACGGCTGCTATAATGGACCCTATATGACCTCCAACATAGGAACAAAACTTTGATTTAATTTCATATACATAGTCAGCAATTCTTTAGGAAATTTCAAGTTTCATAATCTGTTCTTTGAGAAACTAGAGTTCTTTAGCTTCTCAGTCGTCTATCACATCTCAAAATAACCATTTCGGTCAGCAATAATCCCTCAGCCTGAAATCCAATTGAACATTTATTGGAGACTGGTTTCTTTAGTTAAAGCGCACAAGTCTGGACATGTTGTCAAGCTTCTCTCCTGCTACTTCAAGCAATCTAGCCTCAAGTACAATCCAGTAAATAAAGCAGATAAGTTGAAGAACAAAGATCCTCATATGTCATACGTACTAGAGAAACAACGTGTGACAAGTAAAATGAGAATGCGCGATTTTTTTTTTAACCATCAATGGAATTCGTATATTTTTAAACTTTCCACTTTAAACTAAAAACTAATAATCCTGCATCAAAACACATGGTCTACCTCACAGCAGAACTAGACATGCAAGGACCTTTATACATGACGCATAAATCTGAACTGAGCCATGAGGCTATTTAGTATCAACATTTCATAATCCCACAAGATCATCTATTAAGTACCTTAGCCATGAGGCTAAATCCCAAAGAAAACTGGAGCTGAAAACATTTTCAGGATTGCCCAATATTAAAAGGAAATGATGCAAAATACCCAGAGAAGAAGGAAAAATGCCCGTTACTTTCTTTTTTTTTATTATTGTTTTTCAGCAACAACATATTGCCATAGCTGAATCTATAGTTTTTACCAGTCTTTCCAAAGCTATTAAAACAGAAGGGTTGCATTGAAAACCAACTTGAATCTTGAAGGGGGGAAAAAAGAAAAAGAAAATTCATTTCCTAAGAGCAGCCAAAGTTTACTACTTAACTTTCTCGTAAACCAAAACCCTTCAACTGGAAAGAAGCAATTAACAACCTTGGTATGTGTATGGATAAGAAATCAAAAATTCAAAAACCGACTAGACGACGATTTGGGAGAGTGAATAAACTCGTAAAAAACACTAAATTAAATCCAGGGTTTTCGAAGTTAATAAAAGATTGTGCAGAAAAATTGATCAAATAAGAAGTTACCAGAATGATAAAAGGGATGTTTATTGCAATTTTTTGCTTCGACGATTGCAGAAACTGAAGATGGAGGGCGAGGCTGCGGCACCGCCGAGCTAAAAAATAATAAAATATTAGTGGTAAAATTTACGCTGGTTTCAACGTTGGCCCATAGAGAGCGGGCTTAAGAAGTGGCTTCTAAACCCAATTTGGAAATGCAAATGATTTTATCTGTTTGTTGAGTTGGGCTGGAGCCCAATGTTGTAAAATTTTCGTAAGTTTTCCATGTGGGAGTTAAGCACAAAATTAAAAGATGAGATTGGGGGCCATCATATTTTGGAAATTTTTAAGATTCATTTAGGATATCATTCATTCATTTTGGAAATAGTTTATATTTTAAAATATTGAAATTGTCATCATCTATGAGTCAAAACATTTATTTCAACATTTAAATATAAATTTAATTTAGATTATGATACTCAAAAAATTTATTACTAGAACCGGGAAATTTATAGAAGACAAAATATTGCCAAATTAACATTTGAGATATCACAATAATTACAGCGAAGCATCGCTTGGGATTTCAGAACAATTACAGTAAAGAATAAAAATCCCAAGCAAGATTGAGATATTTAAATTCGCACTAAAATATAAAAGAGTAAATCTCATGTATACTGACAGTGTGTACACAGACTATCACGGTGAAAGTATTCAACGGTATCATACATTCAATGGTGAAAGTGTATAGGCTATTAATATATAAGAAGATTAATCAAAAATAAAAACCATTAAAACTTGGGTTAACGTGTTCCAGAAGACGGAGTTAGCATTTGGGCCAATAGGTGGCCGTTAACATATATATGTATTTTCCAGGAACCATCTTAAAGTTGCCGTGGCATGGGAAGTTGGGAACATGACAAAAGATGGAAAGCTCAAAAAACCCAACCCAATAATCTCTTTATTTCCCCAAGATAATCTCTTTGCTTCAGACAACGGAACGGGCATCAAGTCATCAACTAATTAAATCACCACCTGGACTTGTTGGCGAACCAGAAACATTCTGGGCGTTAGTTTCCCATTTAAACACGACTGATTGCACAATTAAGGCAGTAGATTACACAAGCAAGGATACGATTTGATTAAATAAATCCCACCTGCTGCCGTCATTAAGTTACAATAATTTTTGGCGGACGCTCAATTATTGGTTAAGAAGGGTTGATCCTGATCTTGATCTAGCCTATGGCAGGCCATCTCCTCAGCCAGCAGCCCTTACTCCTCAGGGCCAAATGATTCGACCAACCCTTTTAAGCAGGACCACGTTGCTCTGCACCACATCTTCCGCTCCCGCATTAATTAAAGTTGTTATTAAATTAATGTAATGGCCATGTTATACAAAGATCTTTATGTCGAATGTGTCGAGGCTTCCATTTATCTAACTTTGTTTTGGGGGGAGGGGAGTTTTCAATTATCTCGACAGTTGAAAAAGAACGTGTCGAGGCTTCTTTGCCTCTCCTTCTTAATAATGGTTACTACTAGCGTAAAATGGGATTAGCCCCTCTACAGCCATGATGATGATCAATTACACGACGAAAGAAATTTAAGGTGTGTCACGGTTTGATTAGTTAACCTTGACTACGAAAGGTCCTTTGGGTTTCGTCATGGGAAGAAAGGAATAAGAAACTTTTATTGGATGGATTGGCGTCATTTCTAGAAGCTCTTTCCTCAAGTTAGTCAAGGGTGTTGGGCCAACGCTATGCTTGTTGACAATTAAATGAGGTTACCACAAAGTTGATGGGGTCAGATGGAAGGACCCGGAAGCATCTAGCATTGAATAAGATTTGCACACGCAATGCCCTGCTGTTTCACATCTGCGGTAATAATACCTGTTCAAATTCCACGTCTAGTCATAGGATTGTTAAATGGCTCGGGTCAGCTCGAGTTCGACCCCAAAAAAACCTCTGATTTTGGGTATAAACATTATATTCGAATTAAATATGAGCTGAATTTGGAACTTATTAGGCTCAAATTTGATATAAATCCGGTCATTTAATCTGCATCTATATATATAATTATATGTATAATATCACTAATATTTTATAGTTATGAGTTATGTGTCAAAATATATATTTATATATATATATAAGAAATATTAAATATACAAAATTATGTCAAACGATTTTGAAGGAAAAATCTTAGTACGAGTATATTGAGAACCTTTAATGATGTATTGACTGTTAATCATGTTTTATTACTATTTTTATGTACTTTGAATTAATTGGATACATTATTGTTGAAAATTTATTAGTTTATATACTTTTTAATGAACTATTACTGGTTTGTTTATAATTTTAATGTTGTGGTCCTGTGAATGTTATATTAGGTTTAGATTTTAACAGTTATAATAATTTTATTAAAGAAATTAAAAAGCAATACACGAGACTGAGCTAAGCCCGAATTAGATTCACGCTCGAATATTTTGTGAGTCAAATATAAATTTTACGTTATCAACCTCAAACTCGTAATTCAAAACTTAAAAGCGATAGTCATTACATGAGCCAAACCTAAACTTGTTAAAAGCCGATTCAGATGGTCCCATTGACAGCCTACACATAGTTATCACTTTTTTTCTGTCTACATATGGTATTACCATTCAAGACCACGACAACATTTGTGATTAAAAAAATTTTTGCTTGTGGGTAAAACTTAGTCATAACTTTACTCAATAGACAAGTTTTCTTTTTAATTTTAAGATCATGTTTAACAGGTGTTATAATAAATTAGCTGTTTATATACTACTAGGACTTACGCATAAAGTACTTGCCCCGGAAGATACCAACAAGCAACGACATGCAGGCAGGAACTTTCTAGGAAATTTGAAATTTCGAGGTTGGACTTCAATTCGGACTTTGGCGAGAGGACCAGTGGTAATTTCATTCATACGACGTCATGAATAAACTAAGCAGTATACTAGCTAATGCCAAGATTATCATGCATTGACCTAACTAATTAATGGGTTTAGCTATGCTAAATCATAGTTTGGCATCTCCAAATTATCTTCTTTTCGAAAGAGAACACTCGGGCCAGTGTGTTATGCTCCAGGTGTGTGGAAAGGATCATTGAACCATGGATTCATGACGACTAGTTAAGCTTGGAAGACATGATTGATTTGTTTGAACTTCCTGCCTTGCAAGTACCCTTTCCTTTCTGTGTTTCTTTTCCTACCAGGTCAGGGGTTCAAAATTCAAACACAAAAGGAGCAGAAGAGAGTAGAAAAAAGGCGGTAGAAAGAAAATTAGTTTTTCTTTTTGTGCTAAGAGATGTGTGTTTAATTGGTACTGGTATTAACGTGGCAAGTTTCATATGTATGGTGCATGCAAGATTTTTCTCATTATAATTTAACCATTTTGCAGTTCATCTTATTTCCTTCTACTTAATCCCTTTTTTAATCACTTCTTTTTTTTTCTTTCTTGAAAATTAGCTAGCAAATTTAGGCAGTAGTGTAATAGGAATCTATCACCCCCAGTGGGTAGCTCGGCTGGCTCCGATCGTCCGTCTTTACAGCAAGGCCACAGGTTCGACACCCACTTGCTACTGTTGTTGGACATCTTTGGGGCAAGCTCTATCCAGCCTGGGGGATTAGTCCAGGTGATTTCGGAATACCTCTCTAGACTGTAAAAAAAAAAATATATATATATATATAATAATAATAATAATAATAGGAATCTATCGACCACGCCTACCCTTAAACTTCACGTGGCTTGTCCACACCTGCAAAGGGATGAAGCAGTGTCTCCTCACATCCTGTTTCCAGTGCTCTTTTCTTATAGTATATGTTTATAAAGATTACGTAAAAAATTTTGAGATCTTTTTTTTTTTTTTAAAAAAAAAAAATACTATTTGTTAGGATGATTTAGTAGCACATAACAAATTTCAGATGACGATGATAATGGAGTCCAACAATTATGGACAACCTGCAGAACTTTGGCCAGGTAAAGACAATAAAATTCTAGTATTTTTATTCATGTTACATCACCAAAAGGCCACAGCAGATTAGGCAAACGCCAATCTTCCATAGGCAATCTGCAGATTCTCTGCTGGTCCGTGCCATACACAAAGTGTTAAAATTCATTTCATGCAACCCACTCCTACTCCATCAGACCCTTTTCAGTTGCCCATGCTTTGCTCTTTCTATATAGCTTTCTATATTTGGCCTCTTTTGACGCGTATGCCTGGCCAATCAGAGGCTGAAATTTATTTAGACTAAGAACAGCTTTATATGCTGCCCCCCAAAGACGCCAAGCAGAACACAGATTCTATGAACCAAAGAAAAGATAACGAAAGAAAGGAGTTGGAAAAAAAAAAAACAACAACAAAGATCAATATTTTTTTTTTTTTGGAGGGCTTGATGCCACACTATCAATGGTCAAGAATGAAGAATTAATCCAATGGTGCAGACGGCCCTCTTCTGACTACTTTATACAATAATATTAAAATACTAGTGCAAGTTATAGATGTATAGGTGTCGGGTTGTACAATACACATACATATGAACATGTGATGTGATGAGGTCTTTCTGTCTAAGGACTACATCAATAGAGAACTGAATAAACACAGGACTACATCAATACATGAGCCATACAAATGTTTAGTGATACAGAAGGAAATGATGAACACGCATTCACACATATAGATGTGTGAATTCGTGGATTAATTGAATCTTTTCTTATAAGCAAAATGCATGGATTTGAGAGAATTCTGGCTTATACTAGTATTTTTTTTTTGCTGGTACAGGCGTGATTCAAACTCAATCTTCAAGGTCTTCAACTCAATATCGAGACGAGAAAAAAAAAAAAAAAAAAAGAAAAGAGGCAAATCCAAATTGTGCAAATTAACAAGGCAAATGTTCTGGCAAAAGGAGATACAAAATTGGAAATCTAAATTCAATTTAAGCCAGTACTAGAGGAATCATGCATGTATGTACAAGTACAACAGGAGGCTCCCATTCAAGATTTTGACATCCTACCATTAGGAGGGAGACTAAACTCTCACGCAACATGCAATCTGTAACATAGACCGCCATGTGCCATCATTTTCTCTTTCGTTTCCATACTTCTTGGCAACAATCAGCATTTTTTTTTTTTTTTGCCAAATATA